GAAACACCAATAATTCTGGACGTTGATACATATATGTAAATTTAAAAAAAAATAGTTATAATAATAGTTTACCGGATTAATTGACTCGGTTATTTCGTGTAAATAATAATAATTGTAATGCGATTTACTATTTTAACACGAAAATATTACATTTGGATATTGTGTGCTCCTGTAAGAAGATTATGAATTGCACAAAATACATTCAGTATTGTGATACGAAATATTATAGATAAAAGCTGTTCTTATTTCGTTTGTCATTGCATGTTTATATTCTGATTATGTCGTTTCAGTCTATCAGAATATCACGGGTGAAGTAATTAAACACTACGATACCTATAGTCTATAATAATTATAATATGATTATATAGAATATTTTATTATTTATAATACATGTATATTTTAGTATGCTTGTTTTTTTTTTTTATAAAATCAATTTTCATTATTTCACTATATAATATGGTAATCTTAGAAACTTGGCATACTGTTGATTTTACTTATTATTAAGATTATAATAGAAGTTAAATAATTCTGAAAATACAAAGACCATTTTAAAGTGAATTTAGAATTTGTAATTTGTAAATTGTTGTTTTAGTTTAGCTTCATTGTTAGACTTTTTGTAATTTGATATGTTCCATAAGAGCTGAAAATGATTATATTATGTTACAATTATTAATAATTAACAATTCAAAACTTGAAAATTAAATATTTTGTGTACATGGGTGATGTGTAAACAGTTGGAGTAACGAAAAGTCTTTTAAATGTGATGACGTTGTTTTTTTACATTTCTGTAGTACCTACCTATAATAGATTTTGTAGTTATGGATATTAAGACTTGACATTTAATTAAAATTTACAAGGTTACTCATGCCTAATTTATTAGTTATCATTAGTATTTATTACTTTATTCAATAAAAAATGTTTAAAATATGTAATCAATGATTTGTTTGAAAGTACTTATCTTAATATACCGAATATACATTAAATAAGTATAATAACCATGTTAAAAATTGGCTGTATAAGTATATAACTCTGCAGTAAATCTGGCTCAGCTCGGAATCGTTTTTAAAATGCTATGTGGTTTATGGTAATAACCAATAAGTAATAATAGATTTCTATTCAGTCGGCAATCATCGTTACACACATCGAGGTGGTAACCCGATCTCTGTAGTAGTTCATATTCTATCAAGTGGCACTCACTAATTTGCATTAGTTCCAATAATTATAATTGACTACCTATTGTGAATTGTGATGTAAAAGTAAAAATGATATTCCTGTGCCGATGTTGATAATAATTATAATACCATATTACACCTAATTCATTGTTCAACTCGATGAATCGTAATGCCATTTCATCATAACATTCGTCGACGTTATTTCTTAATAGTCGGCTAAATAATAATATCATAAAAAAAAAAAAATACAATAAAAAACAATAGGTTCGACTTTAAAGTAATGCTGGCTCTCGAGTAGTCGAGTCCATATTGCACGACTTATCTGCGCGAAATAATTCAGCCTATCACTGGTCGTGAGTTTCAATGTCACTCGAGTGCGTATGGTGTATACTTAAGCTGCATACTTGTAAGATTATAATTCATCATATTAATCCGTTTTTATAAAAATAAAACTGACATCACGAGTCATGCATAATAATATCATGGTTAATGATTGACGACGTGGGTACATAAAAGAGATGAGGCTAAGAAGCGTGTCTTTCAGAAATATCCTTTGAAAAATCATCGGCTTGACCGTTCATGATTCCTCTCCTGCTTCCATGACCCAAGTTTGTGATCGTTTCTATACTTAAACCAAATTTATTTGTACCATTAAATGTATATTATAATCATCATATGTATTATTACTATGCGCACAACTTCTACTGATGGGTCGTCCAGCGCGCTTTATCGTTTGAATAAACAGTAAACTATATCATATTAAACTTTTGGTGATCACGGACTCCTGGCGGAAGAATTTTGGAAATCACGTACCCCCAACTTTCTCTCGAATACCCTTTTTTTTTTACAAAATATCTCGTGTTATCGTAATAAATATTTTAATACTTATTTTATATTACAAATCACATGAATGGGTACATAAAAATATACACATTTATGCATTTTTTTTATTACACCAAATAACGTTTCACACATATTTAATCTCAAGTTTAAGACCCGCTGAACTATATAAAATCTCCCCTAAATTGTTGAGAAAAATTCAAAAACGAGATTTAGCCCCACCTCCTACACCACCAAAAAAATCGTTTCGCCAAATAGCTGCTATAGATTATAATATAGTTCGACTTATCCATTGTGTGCCAAGCCCAATAAATCCGCACGGAGCGGTACCTATACCGCCTACCCATACCTATTATTATGATAATCACTCGACGGCTACGTAATTGTCACACCTATCTATATTGGTAAATTAGCGAATTTTTTGAATGTAACGCGTACCTATATACACACATACCAGTCATGGGAACTGACATTTATAGTGACTGTACCTATATAATAACGCCGGCGGCAATAATTAGTGAAAACCTCGGTGAACTCTCCGAGGTAGATATCGCCATCGCTGACATTACTGCGCCGCAGACAACTAACTTATTGAGCTGCTGAATGATACCCGCACAGAGGGCAGACCCGTAATACGATACTTAATAAATACCCAGCAGTCTATAGGTACACGAAATAATACATTATTCTCTCGCAAATGTGACGACATGGCATGTAGAGTTGGCTATATGTATACACTATGACATGCAGTATACCTATGCACAGCACAGACACATTTTGAGCTATACCTCGCAAGGCAGCAATATCGTTTTTCTATGTTTATTGCCCACACGTTTCGGTTGAACAACAGCTATATAGTCATAATAAGAGAGTACAGTCGTTCGAAAAAGAAAAAAAATTGCACGATGTGACTCGGTTACACAAATTACTTAATTCTTTAATTATATAATATCCTGATTTACTTAGCCAAATACCTCTTGACGTCCCTCAAACTAATACTCGTGTGTCAAAAACGTTCTATAATATATACACCTACTTGTCGCCAAAATTATAGTCTATTCGCGCTGGTCTTAACAGAATACGTTAATTTCAGGTGACTCGATAAATAATTTAAATTGTTTCCACGATACCAGGTTAATATCACTGATTTAATAACTGTAACGGTAGGTATCTATTAAACGTTTGGTGTTTAGATCACCACAATATCTCGTTATGTATCTTATTTTTTATTTGTATGCTAATTGAAAAATAACTGTTCTGAGCCAAAATCGTTGGGCGTGTACTTATTAATAAAAAAAAAAATATTTATGTTTAAACCATTTTATTACGATTGAACACCGACAATCACAATGACACCGATTGAATGAAATTACAAGATATGATACGATAATCCCGAGATGTATTTTTTAATACTACGACAGATTTTAACTCAAATCTGAAAGAGAATTTTGACGTTTTGTTAAATTCATACGTAGTATGTACACCTGAATTGTTCCAATAATTTGAAATATTCTGTACATATTATATACCTATAGTACATCACAACGATAGAAAATACTACTGCACGTTTTCGCAGGTATAAATTACAGTGTTTATACATATACTGGTAATATTATTTAATTGGATTTATTATAAAATGTAATAATTATTCTATGTTGTGTTAGTAACAATTTTTATCAAAATAATATAACGGTTTACACTCAATTATGTACGCAGAATTTTTTTATAAATTATCAAAATGAATAAAATTATCTTGGATCTGACGACGCGTAATGTTGTATAATTGTATAATAATGTTAACAAGATGCATAAAAACTATCTATAAACGTATGTATATTACAACATTTTGTACACCTATACGAGTTACAACACGACATCGATTTCCATACGAGACTTAGTGTCGTGGGTGTTCTATTTAATGGCATCGTTACTTTTTTGTTTAATTTTATACTGGAAAGCGTTGACAAAATGTAATTTTAAGTGCTCTCTCTTACCGCGTTTTTGAACTATGCCCACAGACTTTTATTCGACCGATGTAAACTAATATTATTACTACACAGCGACTCGCACAGTTGAGTTGGATTAGTCGATTTTGTGAAATCTAATCTTAGGTATACGAGATCCGATTTCTTCACGTCTGATTAGGTCCAGTTGGGTCCGAGATTTACGCCCAAATTATAATCTTACAAGCTTTGCTGTTGATTAAATCGTAATATTATAATGTCATGTCTATTCATCACAATATTTTAATGGTGAAATGTTATACTGAAACACACGACGATGGCGGAAACGATCGGCACCACAGCAGCAGGCCAGCGAACTAAATCATCTACGTGTCACGTCAACGCGACGACGTCCTAAAATGCTAGGTACACGGATATTTATTGCACTATCGGTACTTCGCTCGCGTTCTCGGCCCAAAACTTGGCACAGAGCACGCGTATTATATGGTACCATACCAACATAATATTTTATAGGGTCGTACACACACACTCAAAATATTACACAAACTGTACACTTGTATAGCACACCTAAGTGTATGATAATAATATTATAATAACTAATTTGTAAATTATACATGCAGCGATACATGTGACACACATAATAATGTTCTAAGCGAGCGTAACATATATGAACAAGCGGCGCGCGTTGTCAATACGATATGATTATTATTACTATTAAATTGTCGCGAAAACTGGAAAACGGTAGAACCGTTGACCTATACCATGGCGTTCGTTATGGAGTCTCTGCTCGTTTTTCGTTTCGTCCGGGCGTACCTGCCTGCCGTCGCCGGACCGGTTACCCCGAAGGTGGGGCGGTTCCCCCCCGACGGCGACGGCGGTGGCTGCCCGACCCGGGGAAGGGGCCACCGCTGCCGCCGCCGCCGCCGTCTCGTCGGCCGGTACCGCCGCCGCGTGTGTGCGTGTGAGCGCGCCCCACGAGTGTGTGCACGTTCGCGCGTCTACGCTGCAGCTGCTGTAATAGACGTACCTACTCGACGCTCTCGACCGCTGGTACGATATCATACCGCGCGCGGCTTCCATTTATCGTATTATATACGTGTGCGCCGCGTCTCACGTCAGTCCGTCTCGCGTCGTATAGCGTCCTCTGCTCAGCCATCGCGCGGTCTCAGCGAACCGTGTGCGCGGCGCGTGTGTCCGTGGTCGGTGTGGTCGGTGTGTGCGTGTGTCGGTCGGTGTGTGCGTGTGTCGGTCGGTGTGCGCGCGGGCCCCGCGACCGTGTGCGTGTGTGCGTGAGCGCGCGGCGCGTATAATATTGCGGACACCGCGGGTCAGTGTGCGCCGGTGCGTGTCAATCACATTCGCGAATCGCGCTTTTTTTATTTAAATCGTTTTCGTTTTTCGCCGATCTCTTTCGATCTTTTTTCTCTTCCGTCGATATTTACCTCGCTTCGAATTTCTTTCCGACGCGTTCGACATTTTTCCACACAATTTTAATATTATCATCCTCTGATCGACTCATATCCGTTCCATATACGAAAAAGTAAAACATAATATATGCGCACAAACGCATATTATACATGACATAATAATAATAGTTTTATCATAATATTAATACGATCGTCATCGACGATGCGTATGTCACAACATGATATTGTGATATCGTATTTTAGTTCGTTGACGGACATGCCTTGTGGATAAATCGCAACTAAAGCCCGCCACCCGCTGGACACGAACTAAAGGTTCGTAATCTCATTTGTAGAGGGTTATATAATATATATATACGTCGTTGTAATAAATGTATATGTGGATAATACATTATAAATATACATATATATATACTGTATTGGTATTTAATAATAATAATACATAGCCTATAGGTATAGATATAGGTACTTGCACACGCAAACAATAATAATATAATATCGATCTATACACGTTGACCTTTCGACGGCATCAGATATTATTATATATTATTTTCGCTCTGTATTAAAAAAAAAAATACTCATAATATAATATAATAATAAATTAAAAAATTAATTTCCCTTGACACGAAACCGTGATCAATGGTGACAAAAAGATTCGATGGTCAGACTTAAGATTTTTATTAATTTAAATTACCGTAATGTTCTTGAATTCACGTCTGAACGCGGAATGATTTTATAGATTATAGAATGTCTAATTAAAATATTAATTTTTCGTTAAGACAAACATTAATAAAGTAATACTCATCGTTCCAGTTAATTAATTTTTATACATTTCGTTTCATCTCTTTAATGCTGCAGTTCTAAAGACGAAATTATCCGTTCATTAAGTTTCTAGCATTTAACTTCCATTAAAAATAAATGGAATATACACATAGTTTTAATTACATTTCTTTGAAATTATTGTTTTTTATATTATTTCATCATTATTATAATAATTACTGGCGTTTTACACAACTTGCGTATAATGCATAAGCATTATATTTATACGTACCTAGGTATCCTAGTGTGTACTTATTTACTTTAAATTTAAATTGTCAATAATTATTAATTAAATATAAACGTAGGTACTTAATAAATATTTTATACAAATCCAGTTTGAGGTAGATATAAGTACTTATATTATCAAGTGTGTATAACTAAATGATAAGTGTAAATTCAATATAAATTCTTTTTAAACGTAAGTATCAAAATGTAATTCAAAACTATCATAAATATTTTTAAAACAAAAAATGAACACAAATCATGTCATTCAATAATAATTTATTTTCAAGGTGGTTTAGCATTGATATAATGCAGACTGTCATAATACATATATATCATAGTGCAGTTATTAATACTCACGAACACATTTAGAGTCAAAACTAAGTTACCTGCTGTGTATAACATATATTATTATAGACCATAATAAATAAATTCGCATTGAACTTAGTTTTAGATTTTAAATATTTCTTAATTTTTATTTCAAGGTATATTAATATATTGTTTTGGTATTTTTAAAATAAATAATATACGACACATGAACACTATTGTTTTACTAACATTCAAGTAACTCGTTTTGATAAAATCACTACATTGCAACTTTCAAGTAAATTATACGATGCTGATAATAAAATATATTTGTTTTTGTATCACATATTATTACTTGTAAGTTGTAGACCATTCATTTAAAATTTCTTTCACCTTTCACATTTCTGAATAGGTAGGTACACAAACATACATCTATTCACGATTTCAAAGAAAATACCTGAATATATAGACATATTATATACATAATACTTATTATATATTATATATCTATATTGGAAGACTGATCAGCTCAAGGTCTATGCATAATAAATAATAATAACAATAATAGTAGTAGTAATATCGTAGTAATAGTTGTAAACCGCGAGTAGTCGATACATTATGTAGTAATATATAGTATTAAATGGCCGGCAATGGGCCGGTTGGACAAAATCATATACAACAATAATCACAACCAGTTTTGTCCAATTATTAATTGTACAAGAAAATTGTCGCTTCTATAAAATGTTTTGATTCGTAATATTTAATTATTCATCAATTATTTTTTTTTAGGTAATCCTTCTTATAAAATAGTATATCGTTACTCTGACTGCAGTATTACTATGTTAGTGCTGCAGTCAATTAATCACTATGGTTCAGAACTTCAGAAGTAGATTTTTATCTATAGAAATACTCAAAAAAATATTTGGCTTAGGCATATGAAATAAAAAATGTATAATTCTGTTCAAAAAAGTAAAAACGTAAAAAATGTAAAGAATAAAAAGTTGTAAAATACGCATTTAAAAAAAAATTTATTGTTTTGCAATGACTTCTGCAAAATATAATATAAAATTAATATTCTCGAAAAAGTCTAGACTTTTGAAAATAAGGAAACGCGTATGAGGTAAATAGATTACCATGAAGGGATCCCTTACATTCTCCTCCTAATTCCTATAGTTATATGTGTATTATACACTGCTATAATAATGAGCACAAATTATACTTAGTATAAATTATAATTTTTTATACCTATACCGTGTTAAATTAGTGTTTTACTGAGATTTTTTTACTCGGGTTTTTTAAAATTTACACTTAAATATCACGGTACCTATTAATTGATATTAAAGTGAGTAGTAAAACACCTACCATATGTACATTTTAAATAACGGTAGTAAAATAAATTGTCCTTACAAAGGAACCGCAGTGAATAACGTATTATATAGGTGACTGATGCACTGCATCCTACCACTTTATGGGCATGCGCCAAGTGCGTAATCCTCTGGGGCGGGGCATATCTGTCGACCTGGAGTTGATATAGCGAGACTTGTTCAAGACTCGTTCCACCGAAATGTTGTCACTAACACATAGTACCTATACTGCATAGTACCACTATATTAAACGCTCTCGCTGACGGCGACGATCATCAAAAAACGTCGTGAATAAGACTGAGGTGAGACAGACGGCATCGTCCGTTGTTATATAAGATTGATGACCTGTAATGGAAAACGTCTTGGTTACCACTTACCCGTTGGTCGCACCTTGACCGTGGTCGCCTCGGCATAGCTTACCGCGGAACATAATATTGTATTACCTTGTCAAACAAATGAATACATCACACCAAAACGTACGAAACATGTTTTAAACTTTTAGGTGAAGTTGTACATATTATATACCGAATGATTGACGTCGCATGACGAGACAGTAGGTACCTATACCTAAACTGAATGGGAGTTATTCTCATATATGTGGATGTCAATATCCCTCAAGATCCGGTAAGTCCGGTTAGGTTAGGTTAGGTTAGGTATTCAAAAATGCATCCATGGTTAAAACAATTTAGTATACAGCAACTAAAATATTTGTTTGGTGGGTATCATATTCGCTCGGAACGTTGTCGTTTATTGACTATTCCACATAATATTATAATTCGTACTGTATTTGGACGTTTAGAATTTACATGTATTATGGTATAGGTACTTGTTTCTATCGATATTGTGGTTAGAAATATTAGAAAATGTTTTCACATTGCAGAGGTTAATAAACGCTCCAGTCGTAGAAAGATATATAAGTCGAAAATTGTACTTACGCAAACGCAATGCCATATACGTTCTGCGCAGTATAGTTTATGACGTAGTAATAACATTATAACGTGTACCTATTATATATTACATAAAATAAAGCCAAACCTTGATATACCTAAGTATATTATAGTCGATGTATATGAATATGATTGATTTCTTTGCGTGGGTATACGCGACCACCGATCGATCAAGACTACATGTATCAGAAATTGATCAGAGATTCCACTGTTATTATATTCCATCGAGATGACCACAAACAATCCGTATCGTATTAAGTGTACTCACTAGAAATACAACGTATTATAATATGTAACTAAAATGTGTTATTTGTGATAATAGCTCACATAACACAATGATTACCGTATGTCTAAGTACTTGCCTTCGTATAAGCGTGCGGTGGAATGAAAATCAACACGCAGTTTTTGTGCACCGGAGTTTGTGGAATTTTTCTAATACACTATCAGTTTTGTTTATATACCACTGCAGGAAGTAAACCAATAAGGAACTTCATCAAGGTTCTTTCCTATTTAGAATTGCCACTGCGGCGTGTGTATGGGAAACGTATATAATATTATTATGTATAATGCTGCGCACGCGAATGCATTTTCATCGAAACAATAAAACATTATATTGTACCTGCCTGTACGCAAGGCGGCAGTGGCGGCGTGTGTCATAAATTTGATCGTGTGCGTTACATTTTAGTGAAAGGTTCCAAAGTATCCGTACTGCAGATTACTGCAGAGGTCGATAAGTTCTACGATTGGGTTTCACTAGTAACAAAACAAAACAAAATTAAAACACATAATATAATTTAATACAGCTGCAGATGTCGCTACACTTTTTCGAATTTTGCAACCGTTGTCATAATATGAAAATAGGCACGCGTCGTATAGTTTCCCCGCATTTCGCTGCTGCTGCAGTGTGACATTGTCGATTCGTATAATAATATTGTATGAATGGGCTACACGAGGTTCAAAAACCTCAGCGACATCGACTGACTGACTGCGCCTATTATATTATTATACATCATATTATTATCATTATAGGCAGTGGCACAACATTGGCAAAGCCCATACGGACCGGTTCTCGGGTGTCGGCACTCGGCAGTGATCATGCCGGTGCCTAACCCGATGTTTTGCAACAACGAAACCGATCGATAGACGACGGATAGAATAGATCGATGGCAGTGCTTAATAAAGACTTAATAATCGGTGGCCGTGTATTAAAATTGCCGATGACGTGGCCATTATATAGTAGGATAGGTACCTATAATACTGCAGCAGTATACCGGCGGTGGCTGCTGTGTTATAGCTACAGACGGCCTCAGGCTTTCTAGCCATATAGTGTAGACTGTTTGTATCAGAACGCGTAACAATTCAGAAATTGTGAGAGAACGTTTTTTTTATTTATTTTTTGGCACACCCAAGTATCAAATTGTCACCATATTATCATAGTGAATAGTGGAATTTCATTTGCTTCCCATCAAACTGCAGTATAGCAGTCACATTTTGAGATTGTCTTTTAAGTTTATATTTATTCTTTGTATTTTATATATACAACTAAAATACCGTAAACCTAATATTAAATTCGTTCTAGACATAACATGAATATTATTACTAGTGGAATCGATAATAATATGGGTTTACCTATACTATTAAAAACAACAGGCAAAACGTACATAAAGTTATAAAGAATATAACCACCTACATATAAAAAGATCTGTTACATTGGAATCATTGGATAATGTATCATTTAATGCATGTAATAATTTTTTTTTTCTGAAAAGTGTTATATCACATTGTATTTTTACTAAATCCATTTAGACACATGCGTTTGTTACCTTAGAATTTTAATTTAAGAAGTAATTTATTAAGGTAGTATGGTTGAGTGTAGTAAAATGCCTGACACAAACAAAATTATGGTTAAACTAAATTAACTAAAGATTTTTAAAACGTGTTAAAGAGAATTTATAATTTCCAATCAATTTTACTTTAACAACATACAAGGTATTTAACTTTATTCCATTATGTTACATCAGATTTCTGAATAAGTTGTATTTAATTAGGTTTTTCTTATGAATGACATTCAGCCATTTAGGTACATAAAATGTGTCATAAGAAAATTATATTGTTAACCAATGGCCAAGTACCTACCTATTATAATTTATAATACATTTTTAACGATTAAGATAAGATATTTTTTTAATTATTATATTTAATAATCATGTCATTAGCTTAATTTTACTTATTGTTTTTGATTACATAATTACAGTTACGTACTTATTGAAAGTAATTTTTATTATTTTAGACAGGAGACTAATATTTATGTTTTTATTAAAAATATTAAATTTACTAACTAGAATTCAAATATTCTATAACACGGACGATTTCTTTTTTTCATTCAATAAACAAGTAGCAGGTATAACAAATATTAAATATATTCAACTCTGCCTCACTGACGAAAAAATAACCATAAAAATACAATAAATTTAATAAGTAAATACAAAATATCATAATCCAATTTTAGTAAAGACTATAATGAGGACTACTAAAAATATATTCAGAGCATTTTTGTATACTACATACTATTTGCGTATCAACAGGATGTATTCGTTTAACTTGTAATGAATAGACAACTTATATATTACAACCATAAAAGGCTACTGTAACATTATACTACCTGGATGTTTTTTTCAATAACAGTGTTATGTTTAATGGTGTAGAATATTGGTACAATATGTCTGCAAGCGTCTAATTAACTTTCGCAAACAAATTGAAAACCCATCTGAACTCTAATGGTCTAGATTACATAAATATCATTTTATACGACTGGTGTAATGCAAATTATACACCGGAAGCATAATTTAGTTTATTATGTGTTCCATTATAGCGGCTTACGTGTTTGGTGTTCAGCCCAAATTTTGTGAAATAACATCCGTTATAAATACCTATACCGTTGGCAAATAAATATTAAAATAGATATTTTTTTTAAATACAATTTTTTATTTTTACTTAATTACCCAATTATATAGTTAGAAATTGAATCATACGTTAATTATTCGCAAAAGTGTATATATTTTTTTATGAGAATGAGACAATCGTTTTATAGAATAGTGTTTATATACTACATATTTGGGTTTTTAGATTAATATAATAATGAAAATAAAATAAAAAATATAACTAAATATTATTATTAAATATTTTTAATGTTCAATCACATTAGTAGGTACGTGCTCATAAACAGTATCATTTTTTTTTATGTTTCATTATTTAAAAAGGCAATAAGACTCAATTAATTTTCATTTTTAATTGAACTAAATACACGTTATTGATATATAATATAATATGTGATAAAAAAGTAGTACCTAAATTATAATTTTAAGTTTAATTTATTAATTGGCATTAATAATCACTGACATATATGTGCATAATAATTTTTCAAATTAATATACCTACCAGTAAAACTTTTAAAGGTATAAACTTGTTTTATGAAAAGTATAAGAAAATTTAGAAATACAATATATTTATTATCTACTACAAGCAAGAATAATTATACTAGTTTGTCATTAAAGTTTCAAGTAATTTAAATAAATATTCAGCTATTATTGGTGTAAGTTTTATCGGTTGACACTGATAACAATAACTATAAGTAGGTATTGTTAATTTTAAATAAATATCAGTTGTTAAAAATGTGTACTTTGATAATTCAAATTAATAAAACCAAATAAATGCTATAGTTATATTTTATAACAATTTGTTATTTATATAAAAACGTATAAGGTGACGCATAACCTTTAAGTCGTGAAATAATCTAAATGAAAACCCAGAAGAGGTAAAGGCTGCAAGTGTATGAGTGAAATTGGAAATGTCTATTAAATGTTCGATAACCATACAAAACGATAGCGGTTGTACATATGTGTCGTATATACATGTATAGTGTCATAGTAAAATATAACTATACTCAACAACCGGAAACTCTGAATTTCATTCTGCGAGTTTTTAAGCAACTGCAGAGCTTATATAATTGAACGCCAGCGAAATAATCCATCATCAATATACAGCAGTATAATAGGCCACGCCGTCTTATAATAATATATATCATCATAATATAAATGCGCTTTACACTCCTAGTAGGCAACAGCGTAAAATTATCCTCAAATCATTTATCATAAACTTTATAATAAATAAAATAATCGAGACAAAAATAGGTATTATTAATAATAATAATTGTTATCACACATTGCAAGGCAGTGAGTTGAACAAAAAATTGTTATTTTTTTAATATCGTCAGTTATTGTTTTTTGACAAGCCGAATGGCGCGAAACTGTATCCCCACAATATTATTGTATTTTCTGTGTCAATTAAAATATACATCGACTATCGTGTTGCATACAATATACATATGATTTTATATCGAACCGTTACAACGTTATGGCTCTAATGAGGTCTGCACAGTCATTGTGATCAATCCATGGGATCCTATAGCGCGCATAGTAATTATCGTTTTATTTTCGCAATGTTCGTCCGTAGGTGGAAACTCGAGCTTGGTAAGCAAAAAAAAAGAAAGTACTTACTGCGTTTCCCCCCTCGAGCGTCCGAAAATGATGATTTTAAATTTTCAATCGGACCCGTAATAACTGATCATTATGTGCGATGCACATTTGTACAGTTGTATTATAATAATATATATCGGTGCATACATGGATGCAATTATTACCGGCTATGTGTACACACATGTCATACACTTTGCCGTCAACAGCTGATATAAGTACCCACCCACAGACGTTTTGATCATCCGCAAAATATTGTCCGTAATATATTATATATATATATATATATATATTATACAACAATAATTTGTGTGAAATATGATTATATTATAATTACTCGATAAACGCGCAATCGACAATAACATTTAATTATCCCTCGAACACTTAGTTTTTGACATATATAGACGTCGATAAGAATATGTGTTTGTGTATAGATTGAGCTGTGCATCATACTATTAATTGAAAATGAGTGTTGTTCGAAACATGTCCATGCCATGTGGAGATTTGTGTGTTTAATACTATAGTAATAACGTCTACTATAAAATGAATCATATTATTGTTATCACATTAGACTGTTAGAGTGTTTATCGACGTAAAATAAAACTGTGTACCTACATATTACAATCGCTCTTTTTTTTCCCCCAGAGATTAGGGATTAGGATTTACAATATTATTATTCTTTTAGTCATGTGCGTGTATTCATCCGTTAACCACGTGTGTTGTGATGTGTTCTAGATTCTATAGATGATCTCGTGGACTATCGAACACCCGAGACTTTCGCATATGGAGAACGGTCGGCCGAAATCTTCAATATCCTGTGGATTACGGACGTCATAGTGGTAGACTACGCATCATATAAATCATACTATTAGAGAGGGAAAAACGTCATGCTTAACTGCACTGATGCCGAGTGCACGCTGCACCATCACCATATTCACGTGGACCCGATACAGCATCATTTACAGGATGACCGGCAACACCATGAACATTCCTCAGGTAAACATTTTAATTAATCAACTAATAACCATAAAAATACACAATAATATTATTAGTGTTAATTTCAATAGTTTGTACGGCACATAAATTGTGGAACTTTGATTTATAGCATTAATTAACTGAGAAAAATTGAAACGTATTATACCGTCAAAAACTCATACCTAGTTATATATATAATATATAATGAGAGCCGCAATTATATTATTATTTTTTAATTACCAAACGATAAGTAAACTAGTTGATTTTAATTAATGGTTATATTTTGAATTGCTTTTGGGCTTCTCAGCTTTTAATTTAATATGTGTCATCAATATTATTACTGCATAAACTTGGGTATGCCCACACACTATAGAAAGGTATTCAAATTGTAGAATTTAATTGTTCTACACGATCTTATACATTATTATCATTCAAAATACCGTAGGATGCATAAACTGTTATTCATTGATGTATTACAGCACTATCAAGATTATAACAACCATTCAGTTAAGTCAACTAAATAAAATAATTTAATCTATTTAGTTTTAAAATTATTTTTTCAATAGCAATTTTCCTTTCTTATTCATTTTACCTTATTATATAATAATTACTGGTACTTAAAGATAGCCATTTAATGTAATCATTAATAACAGCAGTAATAACGAAGACATTTACATTTACTTTGTGTCTTTGTTCATTAATTAACTTAGTTTCTGTGGTTTTATTTGATTTACTATTTGACAAATATACGTATATGTATACTATTATGTACTAGTATGTACAATACACTGTACAATATAAAAGAAAACATTATATTTTATGTAATTTAATGTTGCAGTAACTATTGGATAATACAAAATATGGTTTATTAAGTAAATAACCATAGTATATTTACTTTACAAGGGAACTGCAGTATTGTTCAAGAATATATTAAATTAGGTATCGTTTTATACCAATAGTGAAATAAAATAAATCATATTAGTGTGGAGTTTTCTGAAATTGTCTACAAACTATTTTATAACAAAATTGACATTTTTATTACAATTTATTAAACGTATGTGTATAGAAATAATTTAATTTCGAATACCTGCTATACCTAATATGTTTTTAATTTCAAAAAATTAGTAAAAATAATTAAATTTGAATAATATAAGTACTAGAAATCACAAACCAATTCTTACATTATGCTTGGTAATATGCATTAATCGTTACTACGAATAAATCATATATATTATACTATAAACGTGTCCGCAAAAATAAAATTCTCGAACAATATTATTGTTGTTTAGAGAATGTCAATCACAAATAGTAATGCGCATTAACTATTAAGTAACAAGTAATAATAATATTACGAAGGTAATTCCAAACAATTTTTTTTATCACATATAATATCAGTAAGAAAAAAATAGTTAAAAAATATCAATATCTTTAACTATAACTAAACTAATTAAATCACAACACAGCAATAAGTTGTTATATTATACATTTTAAATTTGAATGCAAAATATTGACATGATAATAAACTTTAGAGATTATACGTTTTCATTAATTTTGAATGAATTATTAATTTTTTTTTCTACTAGATCTAGATTTACTGATTAGATGTAACTATTAGAACTCGTTTATAAACATGTAATAAATAGTTTATAATTTTTTCTTCGATATTAATAATTACACATTCCATAACAAAATAATATCACTATAAAATACTTGCCATATACTCGCTAAAATAAATTGGTGTTGTAAAGTGTTGAACATTTTCTCAGTTTCCGAGAAGCTCTAAATGGTGCAAAAAATTCTAAAACAAAATGTTTAACTAATTATTTGTTTAAAACGTTGCGCACTTTATTCATAATTTAGAGACCAAATTTGTTCCTGGGACAGGTCGAAGCAGTACATATTTTATTACATAGGATATCTAATGGAAACAATTACATATTATAAGGTGCGTTACGGGTCAAACCGACGTAGGGCACACGTGAAAAAAAAATAGAGTTGTGGTGAGGCTTACAAGAGTGTAGGATAGTACCTGAGGCGCCGTGGGTAAATGGCCTCAGCAGCAGTGATCTGGTATGGAAGCGCCCGCGGGCGCCAGCGCGTCTCCGAAAGGCACTTTCACTGTTGGTCCCCACAACTCCCCGTCCTTGAATGCCACCTCTCGGTTCGCAAAGTTTACTCCCCTTCCACCACGTTTTCGGCCCCTCCGTTTCAGTATCGTTCAGATGACCATGAACGACATACCGTGTAGGTATAATTCGTACCTACTAGGTACCATTACATTTCTCAACACCTGAAAAAGCTCTTCAGTATAAATATTTCAAACGCACGCTGTGCTCGAAAATGTCAGATTATGAAATTATTAATTCAAACTGCATGCTAACATTGTGTACAGACATTGATTGTTATACAATGTACATATTATAATGTTATGTGTGTAGACGTCGTTGAGCATATTATAACATTTTAGTGTTTGCGGATACACATAAAACGCACCCCCAAGTGTTGGGTCGTTTTCGAGTGATGTATACAAAATTACAAAACAAGGAAATCCATTATTCAATAAGTCCCAACTATATCATAAAAAAGTCAAAAAACCATAGGGTATAGGTGGATGCTGGTTTATAGCTGTTTACCTATATATGTATCAATACATTTTAAAAACCTTGACAATTTTTGTGGCTTATAAACAAATTTATTTGAAAAGCTCTATTACTAAAACAAGAATTATATTTTATCCCTCAAGCTTAGAAATTATAGATATGTTATGTTAGATTAATTATTATACTATTATATTATTATTGTATAGAAATTGTACTATTATTTTAAAACCTTGTAAACATGACAATAATTTATTTTATTATTTTCATATAAATTTTTTTTTTATGTGGTATCACACTTGATGCGGAAACCACGATAGTGTTATTTCCATCTCATTGATGTGCATACATATTAACCTACCTATTATCTGCAATATAATTCTTCTTACAACCTATTAAATATTGTATTTTGTACATTTCTATATCTACCACGCTAAGTAAATATTATTTTAAGTACGTATAACATACAACGTAAATAATTTATCTATACCTCTATGGCACAGATCATATATGTATATGATTTGGCTACCTTCCCGAAATGGCCTACACCGGATATTATTATCACCTTGTTCGTCTAATCAATTATGCAATAGTCATAACACATATAATTAAATTGATTGTTCTTGTTTGTTTTTGCCAAAATATGTCTACATTTTAAATGATTGATGAGTATTTATATTTATTTTCAATATACATGCTGCATTGCTGCTTATAAAACATAACTTCCTTCTTCTGCTTAAAACATTCTGTGGTCAGTTCATTACCGGCATTATCACATTAATGATCGTCCACTTCTATAATTTGAAACAACTTTAACTATAGAGTTCGCATAACGCAGTTAATAGACTGATCATAAACTACCTACTATTATTATTTATTATTATTATTATTCAATCCATAAACATATAAGATACTAACACTAAATACTAATGCTGTTACACATTACACATATGTGTATAACTGATTAAATATAACACGCTTGTACGTCATATATATTAATTGTACCAGTTTCATTGAAGAGTTTAAACATTTTAAATTTACCACAATATTAATTTAAAATTGAAAATAATAAACGTTCAAGGCTACATTAACGTTAGAACTAATTTTTAATACGGTATCATTAAAAAAAATGTGATACAGAGTTGGGTGGGCCAGGGCGTATGCTTTTGTTTTTAAAACTAATGATAATTACCTTTAACCGAAAAGCAATTCTAAACGCAGTTAGGTTTTACTAAAAGAGATTTTTGTTAAAAACGAATGCTTGATTATATGTCTTTTCTTTGCCTTTATATTTATTGTTGTTAATTGAGATATTCACTGTGAGTTTGAAAACGATATGATTAACTACTAATATTTGAAGATGTGCTGCACGCATAACGTTTCTGGTCTTCTTTTATCTGTAACATAAAAGTTAATCGAAATATTGTGTGCAAAACGATGCGCATCGTCGTAAAATATATTGCTCGTCCTTTTGGCAATAATAATATTAATACGTTTTGAACTAGATTAAAAATAAATATTTTGTTGTTAATATGTCAGAAATCAGAATAGGTAATTTATAAGAAACCCGTTTGGATTTTCTATACATCGTTGTGTTTCTGCCCCCCCCCACATTATGGTACCTTGTTAAGTATAAAATATATTAAAATATGATATATAATATGAATCATATTCAATAATAATAAAAGAAACGAAATTTAATTATATTGTACTTTGTTTGTCACTATATAACTAGAAAGAATTTTATGGTTAAGAAACATTCACAAGTAATATTATGTATTGTTCTTATTTGTTGATTAAAAAAATTGTAAATATGTGTGGATTCATAAATAAAACAAATTTGTCTAGTAATTTAGCAGTATCAAGACGATGAATGGAAACCTGCCAATTCCATTGGTAGACAGTTATTAATGTTTTCTTCTCAATTCACAATTCGCATATAATATTAAACAATTACGTAGCTTTATGTAACTATCATTAATACGGTCACGTTTTGTCATCGAAACTATGTTTAGCAGACGATTTTTCTTTTTCTTTTTTTGTTATTATTATTATTATTTATATTGTTTAATACTATCGATTCGCTCGCTGAATGATTAAAAATGTAGTCCAGGGTTTTGTACTTTCAAACGATTGTCACCCCCAGTGAAAATTTCAATTAATTCTGTGGAAAACATACTACTACAGCGATTCACATTATATTATATACAAAAAAAAACTATCCTATAAACACCTATTGTAATATTCAATACATGTCACCTTGCTCATTATTTTATTATCTATAAGCTATAAGTGAGACACTGCTTGGGCACATGGTATAATTTTAAAGGTACTGCGTTGATTAATGCAATATTAAAAGATTAAAAACATTTTTTTAAAGTATTTAGTACTCATATATTGTGAATTTATTACTAAAAGTAATTT